GTGAGTGGTCAGATGGGTGGAATAAGTGAAGATTAAGAGTTCACTCATCTTGATGAGCACTGAATAATACATAGAATTGTTGAATCCCTGTATTATACACCTGAAAATAATATAACACTGTATGCTAGGTATACTGGAATTAAATTAAAAAAAAAATGAAGTGGTTCTCTTGTAGACAACTCTTTATCCATTTTGGCAAACTTTGATATTTAATTGGAGTGTTTAGTCCATTTACATTTCTGTTATATTTGGATTTGTACATACCATTTTATTATTTGGTTTTTGTTTGAACAGACTGTTTTCTGTCTTACTCTTCCTCCATTCCTGCTTTCTTTTGGGTTGCTAGGATATTTTAAAAAATATATTTCAGCTCTTCCACTGGCTTTTTAACTATTTACATTTTTTTGTTGTTGTTGGTTGCCCTAGTGATAAAAATATACATTCCCAACTTTTCACAGTGTGCTTAATAATGTAGTACTTCGTGTAAAATGGATCTTCTAATGAAATGGGTTGTCCTATTCTTATTTTAAGGAAACTAATGTTCGGAAAGTTAAGTGTAATACCTAACTAATACCCATACAATATCTAAATTTTGAAAATTAAACCAAACTTACATTCCCAGAATCAGCCCAACTTGGTTTTAGTATATATTTCTTTTTTATATTTTTATGTTACATTTGCTAATATTTTAAGGGTTTTGCTTCTATATGAATAAAAAAAATTGGCCTAAAATCTCCTGCATGTAATATTCTTATATTTTCTTATCAAGATTATGTAGAACTCATAAAATGAGTTGAGACCATTTCTCCCTTTCTAAAATCTGGATGAGTTTAAGACTGGCATTATCCTCTTCTCTTCCCTTCCCTTCCTTTTCCCTTTTCCTTCCCCTTCCCCTTCCCCTTTTCCTTCCCCTTCCCTTCCCTTCCCTTTCCTTTCCTTTTTCCTTCCCTTTCCTTTTTCCTTTCCTTTCCTTTCCTTTTCCCTTTCCTTTCCTTTCCTTTCCTTTCCTTTCCTTTCCTTTCCTTTCCTTTCCTTTTTCCTTTCCTTTCCCTTCCTTTCTCTCTGCTTTTTTTTTTTTTTAAAGTAGGCTCCACACCCAGTGTGGAGCCCAACATAGTGCTTGAACTCAAACCCTGAGATCAAGACCTGAGGTGAGATCAAGAGTCGGATGCTTAACTCACTGAGCTACCCAGGTGCTCCAAGACTGGCATTATATCTTTCTTAAGCATTGGTAGACTTTATTGGTGAAACTATTTGACTTTTAGTTTTCTTTATGTAAGGTTTATAATTATGTTTAGATTTGATAGTTTTATGAATATGTAAATTTTATGTTTTTTCTTGTCAGTATTGATAAGTTCTGTTCTTCATTTCTTCTAAATTTTTAGTTATTGGCATGATATTATTTATTATGTCCTTTGTGTGTGTGTGTGTGTGTGTGTGTGTGTATGTGTGTGTGTGTGTGTTTGCCTCTTAGTTTTTCTTCTTCATTAATTTTCTAGGGGCTTTCACTTTTTAAAAACCTTTCACAAGAATGATCATTTGGCTTTGTTGATCCTTTTTATTATATGCTTTTCCACTTACACATTTTATTTATAATTCTGTTTTTTGTGTTATGTTTTCTGTATTTTTATTAATTTTTGAAATAGATTCTTAGATACTTATTAGCAGCTTCTTTTCTAATATAGGCATTTAAGTCCCTAAAACATGGTTTTAGGTGTAGTCTAAAAGTTTAATATGTAATTATTATTTATTATTATTAAACTCAAAATATATTCTAATCTCAATTGTGAAATTAGAAGTATATTCTAATATACTTCATTTTTAATTTTATACATTTTTTAAAGATTTTATTTGAGAGAGAGAAAGAGAGAGCACGAGCGGGAGGGAGGGGCAAAGGGAGAGGGAGAAACAGACTCCCTGCTGAGCAGAGTCCCAAGCAGACCACACTGAGTGTGGAGCCCTACACAGGGCTAGTGATCCCAGGATCCTGAGATCATGACCTGAGCCAAAGGCAGATACTTAACCGACTGAGCCACCCAGGCACCCCTTATTCTAATATACCTTAAAATATATTTCTTCTTTGAAGTATATTTCTTGCTTTATAGATATTTGTGGATTTTCTTTTTAAACTTTTGTTATTTCTAGTTTCTCACATCAAAGAACATATTGTGTAATATTTCTGTTGAAACGTATTGAGATTTGCTCCATGACCTTGTATGATGCTTTTGTAAATATTTCATGTGTACTTTATTAATTTTTTAAAAGGTTTTATTTGTGTATTTGAGAAAGAATGAGAGGGAGAGCACAACCAGGGAGGGGGCATAGGGGCAGAGGGAGAGGGGAAGCAGACTCCCTACTCAGTAGGAAGTCCAACATAGGGCTCAATCCCAGGATCCTGAGATCATGACTGGAGCTGAAGGCAGATGCTTAACTGACTGAACCACCCAGGCGCCCCTCATATGTACTTTAAATGAAACTGTGTTTTGCAGTAGTGTACAGTGTTTGATCAAATGTTCATTAGGTCATGTTTGCTAACCATGTTATTCAGATATTCTCTTTACTGATTATTTTGTTTCTTCTTACTGAGTTATTTCAAAATCTTACCCTTATGCTATGGATTTGTCTTCTTTTGTTTCAGTAAACTTTGTTTTCTTTGCTTAACAATTTACACTAGTTTTAACTTCTATGTGAATTAAGTTTTTAATCAATATCAAGCTTGAAGTGTGTCTTTTTAATTTAGTAATGTTTTTGCCTTAGAGTCTATTAATACAGCTATATCAACTTTCTTTTGGTTTTTGTTCACGTCTTTTCATTTTTTTACTTAACTTTTTCTGTTCCTTGTTTTAAATGTTTTGTGTGTAAATGGCATATATATTTTATAGACCTGACGATCTTTGTCATTTAATTGTAACATTTAGTTCCCTCCATGAAATGTGCTTTCTAATATATTTGGATTTAAACCTACTATTTTATTATTGCTTTTTTATTTGTTGTACATCACCTATGTTTATTTTCATCTTTTTTGCCTCCTTTTGGATAGATTATTTCATATTATTTTGTTATCTCTCTCTTAATAGGTTACTACTTACACATTGAAGTATTTCCCTTCTAGTGGTTACCCCAGAGATTATAACATTCTTGACTTAACAAAAATCTAATATAAATTAGTCTTTTATTTCCTCCTGGACAGTGTAAGGACATCAGAATATTGTAACTACACTGGGCCCTTTCAGACTCAAATACATGTGTTGTCTTATCTTTTAATGCTTTTATTTAATTTCAAGAAGACATTTTAGTTTTGTTCAGTAATGTGAATATATATTTATATTTTCTATATATTTACCATTTTTGTTGCTCTTAAGTTTTCCCTGCATCACTGAACATCTACATTGTATAATTTTCCTTGTGTCTGAAAACCTCATTAATTATTTCCTTTACTATGGCTCTTTTGATGAGGAATTTGTTCAGTTTTTGTTTGTCTGAAAATATCTTCATCTTTGTTCTTGAATAATATCTTTATTGGGTGTAAAACTAGGTTCCTTTTATTTTCTTTACCATTTTGAAAATATCATTCTATCATATAGTGTCTTTTGTTGTTTTTGCTACAAGATCAGCTATTTTTCCAGTTGTTGCTTTTTGGTAGGTAATCTATTGTGTTTTCCTCGTGCTACTTTTAAGATTTTTTTTTTTTTTTGGTCTCAAGTTTTGAGCAGTTTTCCTATGAAACACCTACTTGTGGATTAATAATTTATTTATTTACTTATTTATTGGTTTGATGTTGTTAGTGGATCTGGAATATATGGCTTGACTTTTTTTAAATCAGGCTTTAGAAGTTTTCAGTTTTTATCTCTTCAAATACTTCTCTTACACCATTCTTTTTCTTTGTCATTTAGGATTGAGATGGTAGGTAACCATTCCCATTTTAAAAACACTATTTTTTTTAGTCATTCATATTCTTTTTCTTTTTTTTCTTTTTAAGGATTTTTTTGGTGTCTATTTGACAGAGGGAGACACACAGAGAGAGGGAACACAGGGGGAGTGGGAGAGGGAGAAGCAGGTTTCCTGCTGAGCAGGGAGCCCAACATGGGGCTCGATCCCAGGATCTTGGGATCATGACCTGAGCTGAAGGCAGAGGCTTAACGGACTGAGCAGCCACCCAGGCGCCTCTCATATTTTTTTCTTTAGGTTTTAATATTTATATGATTTATTTTTCTAAAGTAATGATTCTTTCCCCCCATATGGATAGTATGGAAAGTACTCCCCCCCAATCTTTAAAACAACTCTGCAAATATTTATTTTTGCTATTTTCATATATTTTCACAGTTATTCAAATAGATTAACTTGCCCAAGTTTATATAACTGCCAAGCAACTAAGGCTGAAATTTGAACCAGAGTCCAATTGATTAAATATTTCTTGCTCTTCATTACATGAGGTTGTATTTCCTTTATTATGTCTCTGTCTTTCTTACTTGGTATTTAGAGAATAGCTGTTTTCCAAGTGGTGTGTATAATGATGAATTGTCTTAGTCTATCTTAAAATAACATTCTATTATTCCATCTATAATTATTAGATGAATAGAAGTGCACAACTTTATGAGCCAAATAAACTCAAGGGGTTTATTTTCTACAGGGAAAAAAGAATGTATATCGTTTATTCTAATAGAATATATGAAGAGATAGTTTCCATGGAGAGAGACAAATAAGGTAATGTTCGAACTGATGAGATCAAGAAAGAATTCATTGAGTAGGTAAAACTTATCATGGAAGAGATAGCCATGTGAGAATTCTTTTTTACTGTATTCACGGGTAAGGTGTACTGTACATTTGTTTGTTAATATATAAAAGAAAACCAGTACTACTATTTCATATTGTTTTCTCCTGTAACAAATCTATTTATACATACTCAAATTTTCAGTAATTGGGTAGTTAATTGTAAGCCATAACATTTTGTCCATCTTGTAACATTTACACAGTAATTAAAAAGTTTTTTTTTCTCCCAGGTTATTTCATTTTTGGCTGCAGTTTTGCATAAAAAGGGAACTCGTGAAGATATTGAAAACAACATGCCAGAGTTTTTACTAAGAAGTATGAAAAAGGAGCCCCCTTCTTCTATAGCAAAAAAAGTAAGATGTTTAGAAACATACAGCTCATGAAGCTGGTATTGGGAAAGTACACAACACACATTATAGTACACAGCACACATTATAGTATAAATTCAAAACATATAAGTTAAAGACATCATTAAGAATGTTTGTTTTATAGACCTAATGCTTGAAGGATTATCAGTTTCATCCTCAAATTAAGTATGATTGACTCTCAAAGTGGCAAAATACAATTCTAGCTTAAATTTTTTTGGAGATTAGTCTTTTTCTTGGCTGGATTTATATGACTTACTTTCATTAATTTGTTAAATTTTCATAAATGTATATGTAAAGTTAATCAAAGTCCATTATATTGTTCTTTATTTATGTGAGAATGAAAAAGGAGACAGTTGTAGATATTGATAACAAAGATGTCACTGATAAAGTTGTGCAGCAGAATAATTACATCCTGAAAATCTGAAACAAATTCTTCCTACGAGAAGGACTGTTGAAGTTAGAATTAGAAAGGCTAAGGTCTGGGTGTGTCTTTGTCTCTGCCCTTGTGACTATGAATGCTATTTGTGTCTATATTTCAGCTTTCTCCTTTGTAAATGCATGTTTATAAATATCTCATATATGACTCAAAAATAAGAGATTTCTAATAAAATAATGAAATGCAAGAAAAAGTATATTTTTGTGTCTGACTTTTAATATTCTTCTCAGGAAACTGGATAGAAATAAAGATAAAGTGATTTTATGAAATCTTTATTTTCTTATGGTAAGGAAATCACTTTCTCAAGTCAAGTTTTAAACAGTCTCATCTATAATAGAGTCTTATATATAAGATTGCTGAGGCCAATTTACTATTGTCTATTACTGGGGCATTTTAGTGCAAAATTTTGAGAAGTATTGGCTTATGGTATTATTACTTTAAAATTTTTATTATTTTTAATATAAATACATCCTGTGTCAAATTTAATTTGATTCTAAAGAAGTATTATAATTCTTTCTTTTTTAAAGCATATTTTTTTGACCTGAGCCACTTTATCTTTATTTTATTTTATTTTTTTGAAATTCAATTAACATACAGTGTATTATTAGTTTCAGAGGTAGAGTTCAGTGATTCATCAGTCTTATATAACACCCAGTGCTCATTACATCACATGCCCTCCTTAATGTCCATCACCCAATTACCCCATCCCTCCACTCCCTCCCCTCCAGCAACCCTCAGTTTGTTTCCTATGATTAAGAGTCTCTTATGATTTGTCACCTCTCTGATATCGTCTTGTTTTATCTTTTCCTCCCTTCCCCTTTAAGGCCATATTCTTAATGTGTCTTTAAATCTTCTAGAGTTCAAATACTGTCTGTAGTCCTGTTTTCAGTTGTTATTTGATTCTAAATGTCAGTGCAGAATTTATGAATATCTTATGTCAGTTCTGATAGTTAACAGGGCAGAGAAAACAGCAGGGAAAAGTAATACTTTAAATAGGTGAAGATATTAATATAAAATATATATTTATTTACATTTATATATTTATATAGGCACATATGCATATATATGTGTAATTCCTTGCTATAATATACACTGCTATTTTTCTATCTCTTTCAGTTCATTTCTTAAGTATTTATTTTTAATCTTATATTCTAATAAATTTCACTTAAGTTGTATATGTTTTTTTGAGTACTACTTTGCATTTCATAGTTTTCACTAGGTGGTCTTTTCAAAATTGTCTGTGACTCTATAGTTTTTCTCTTTTACTCAAGTACTATTTAAAGTGAGGTTTAAAATTTCCGAGTGAATAGATATTATTGGGGGGTTGGAGAATGATGAGAGTATTTAGCCTTTGTTGTTGATTTCTACTTTTGTTGTTCAGATAATACTGGCTTGATTTTTTTCTTTTTTTTTTTTTTGTGGCTAAATCCATGGTCAGGTGTTTTTAATGCTGTGCAGTTACATAGTCTCAGTTATTTTAAAAATGTTTGCAAGTATTTTGCATATTCTTTGTTATTCTGGCCACATAGTTCTAAATATATATGTTAAATCAAGGTTAATTATATTGTTAAAATTCTTAATACTGTTTTGTTTTGTTTTTGGTCTATTTGAGCAATTAAATTCTGAGAGAAATATATTAAAATTTCCTGCTATGTCTTTCAGCTTTCTCATTTCTTCTTGTGTTTGTACCACTTTTTGCTTATTTAACAACTTCAGTTGTTTCAAAAGTTTTATGTACTTTTATATTGCTGTTATACTGGATTGATAGTTTATCTGTGTGTAGAATTCTAAGTTAAAAGTTTTCTCTTAAACTTGACCAAAATAATTTTATTTTCTTCTGTCACTCTATATTGTAGATGAGGTTCCAGTACTGAACTGATTTTTTCCTTGGACAATAAATTTTCTTTTTGTTTGAAAGTGTATAGGACTTTTTCTTCAACCTTGAAATTTAGAAATTTCCTCAACCCCAACACTCACTAAGAATTCTGAAGAAGTTCTCCTGCTTTGGAAAAATATACACAGTACTTTATATAGGGGAAGTGGAGTGCTACTTCTCTGAAGCAGATGATTGTCATAATTGTTTCCCCTTTAATTAATTACTCTGCCATTACTTTGCATTATTTTCTTTTTTCTTTTCTTTTCTTTTCTTTTCAAGATTTTATTTATTTATTTATTTGACAGAGAGAGAAAGAGAGCACAAGCAGGGGGAATGGCAGGCAGAGGGAGAGGGAGAAGCAGGCTTTCTGCGGAGCAGAGAACCTGATGTGGGGCTCTATCCCAGGGCCCTGAGATCATGACCTGAGCCGAAGGCAGATGCTTAACTACTGAGCCACCCAGGCGCCCCCTTTGCATTGTTTTCTTAATTTCTTTTTCTGATAATTCATTGCTAATGTATAGAAGCACAACTGATTTTTGTATATTGATTTTGTGTCCTGCATATTTACTGAATTTATTTTACCGAGTTCTAAGAGGTTTGTTTTCATTTTTGTTTATGGCATCTTTAGGGTTTTCTACATGTAATGTCATATCATCTGCAAACAGACAAGTTTTACTTCTTCCTTTCCAATTCGAGTGTCTTTTTATTGCTCTGACTAGGACTTCCAGTCCTATGTTGAATAAACTGGGTAAGAATAGGCATCTTTGTCTTGTTACTGATCTTAGAGGAAAAGTATTCAGCTTTTGACTATTGACTGTGATATTAACTATGGGCTTGTCATGTATGGTCTTTATTATTTTGAAGTATGTATTCTCTATGTCCAGTTTGTTGAGAGTTTTTATCATTTTTTGTCAAATGCTTTTTTTTGCAACTATTGAGATATGATTTTTATCCTTCATTTTGTTCATGCGCTGTATCACATTTATTGATTTGCATATGTTGAACTATCAATGCATCTAAGAAATAAATCCCACTTTGATCATGGTGTATGGTCCTTTTAATGTACTGTTGAATCTGTTTAATATTTTGTTGAGGATTTTTGTGTTTATATTCTTCAGGGATATTGGCCTGTAATTTTCTTTTCTTGTGATACCCTTGTCTTTGATAACAGGATAACATTGGCCTTGAAAAATGAGTTTGGGATTGTTGAGAAGGATTGACATTTCTTCAAATGTTTGGTAGAATTCACTAGTAATGCTGTCTGGTCCTGGACTTTTCTGTGCTGTTAGGTTTTTGGTTACTGATTCAATCTCTTTACTAGTAATTTGTTCAGATCTTTCTTCATGATTCAGGCTTGTTGGGTTATATTTTTCTGGGAATATATCCACTTCTTGTAGGTTATCTAATTTCTTGGTATATAATTGTATAATTTCATATGATCCTTTGTATTTTTTGTTATCAGTTGTCATGTCTCCTCTTTCATTTCTAATTTTATTTGAGTGTTTTCCCTTTTTTCTTATTCTAGCTAAAGGTTTGCCAACTTTGTTTATCTATTCAAAGAATCAGCTCTTAATTTCAGTGATTTTTTTGGTGTTTTTCTAGTCTCTATTTCATTCTTTTCCACTATGATCTTTGTGATTGCTTCTACTAACTTTGGGCTTAATTTGTTCTTACTTTTTTTTTTAAGGTTTATTTATTTTAGAGAGAGAAAGCATGCACGAGCAGGGGTGGGGAGGGGCAGAGGGAGAAGGAGAGAGAGTTCCAAGCCGACTCTACACTAGGTGTGGAGCCCAGCTGGGGGCTTGATCTCAAAACCCTGAGATCATGACCTGAACCAAAACCAAGAGTTGGATGCTCAATCAACTGCACTACCCAGGTGTTCCTTGTTCTTCTTTTTATAGTTTCTTGAGGTATAAAGTTAGGTTGTTTATTTGTGATTTTTCTTTTTTCTTAGTGTAGGTCTTTATCACTAAAAATTTCTTTTTTAGAACTCCTTTTGCTGCATCCTATAAGTTTTGGTATGTTGTGTTTCAATTTTTGTCTCAAGAGATTTTTTCATTTCCCTTTTGATTCCTTCTCTGACACCTTTGGTTATCAGGAGCATATTGTTTAATATCCACATATGTATGGATTTTTCAGTTTTCCTCTTGTCATTGGTTTCTAGTTTCATACCATTGTGGTCAGAAAATATGTTTGATATGATTTAAATCAAACATTTATTAAGACATGTTTTGTGGCCTAACATATTATCTGTCCTGGAGAAAGTTCCATATGTGCTTGAGAAGAGTATGTATTCTGCTGCTGTTAGATGAAATGTTGTATATATGTCTGTTAGGTCCATCTGATCTAACATGTAGTTTAAATCTGATGTTTCTTGACTGATTTTCTGTCTAGATGATCTATCTGTTGTTGAAAGTAGGGTGTTGAAGTCCCCTATTATTATTATATTGCTGTCATTTTCTCTCTTCATACCTGTTAATATTTGCTTTATATATAGTTAGATGTCCTGATGTTGGGTGTAATATTTACACTTGTTATATTCTGTTAATGAATTGACCCCTTTTATTATGATCTGATGACTATCTTTGTCTCTTGTTACAGTGTTTGGCTTAAAGTCTATTTCTAGGAAAATTTGCTTTTTTGTTTTTTGGGGAAGTTTTCTCTTACATAGGT